CGAAACCAAAGTTTCTCAGCGGATTTGGGCAGTACTCAGCAAGCGCAGTACAGACCCGAAGTCAGAAGAAAAAAAAAATCAGAGGAAGACTGTTTTCTGAGCCGTCGGCTGCCGCCGATCGGTCGGTCGGCGGTCGGCGGGGTCAACCCCCCCCAAGCCGAAACCAAAGTTTCTCAGCGGATTTGGGCTGTACTCAGCAAGCGCAGTACAGACCCAAAGTCAGAAGAAAAAAAAAATCAGAGGAAGACTGTTTTCTGAGCCGTCGGCTACCGCCGACCGGTCGGCCCCGATCGGTCGGTGCAATACGGTCGGCGGGGATGCAACCCTGCAGAGCACTCAAAAGCCTCGGTTGCGATCTGTCCGGCGTGGCAGCCATCTGGTCGATTCAGAGTTGGCTGTGCTGACCACCTGCACGATCCCTCTCCAGAAGTCAGCACATTAAGTGCACCGAGGGTTGGGGGGTATAATTGACAGCCATGGTTACAGATCTTTAAAGCCGGACTGCCATCCGGTCTGTTCGCAGCGGGCTGCAGAGACAGTCCGGCCGGATCCCTGCTCACACGGTAGAGCAGATCAACTGCAAGGGGGCAGAGATGGGAGGAGGGGGAGGAATCAGCCAAGCATTTTTTTAGGTCCCAGCAGGGTTGCATACCTGCCGACCCCGACCGCCAACCGTATTGCAGCCGACCAGTAGGGCCGACCGATTGGCAGTCTGCCGGCCAGTCAGAAAACAACCATCCAGTGGCATCCACTGAATTTTTTGGGGGGCTGTACTGTACTTGCTGAGTACAGCCCAAATCCGCTGAGAAACTTTTGGGGATTGGGGGGGCGGGGGGGTACAGGGGGGGTTTAGGAGTGTATAGGGGGTATAGGGGTGGTATACGGGGGTATTGGTGGGGTGCATGGGGGTGTTGGTGGGGTGTATGGGGGTGTGGGGGGGGTGGGGGGGTGGTATACGGGGGTATTGGTGGGGTGCATGGGGGTGTTGGTGGGGTGTATGGGGGTGTTGGTGGGGTTATTCAGGGTTTAAAAAACTGAAAAAAAATATAAAAAACTTTTTTTTTTTTTTTTTTGCCTGGTGCTGACGAATCCCGACCGGTAGGTGCCGACCAGTCAAGGGCCGTCGACCGTCTGGGTATGCAACACTGGTCTCCAGCACTTATCTCAACCATGGCATGCCCAAGGCGTTTTTTTTGCTCCCCGGCAGTCATCTGAACCAGGCCAACATCTTTTGAGCCTGCAAAATGGCAGCACCAAAAGAGAGCCTGCAGGCATTCCCTATCGTCTTCCTGCAATAAACAAACATCAGTACGATCATCAGGCCAGACTGATGGGCCATTTCCCCTTGCCGTGCTAAGGGATACTCACGTACATGTCGATCAGAATTTCCATCAAGGTCGGGCTTGAATCACGCTGAGTTTGGCCTTGCCAGCCTGAGAAGGTAGAGGACATTGACGTTTGCTCAGTTAAGCCTTTCCCGTTTTCTGGAGGCTGGCCATGAAGCCGCCATCCTCTCTCTCTCTCTCTCTCTCTCTCTCTCTCTCTCTCTCTCTCTCTCTCTCTCTCTCTCTCTCTCTNCTCTCTCTCTCTCTCTCTCTCTCTCTCTCTCTCTCTCTCTGTGTCTCTGTCTCTCTCTCTCTGTCTCTCTCTGTCTCTCTCTGTCTCTCTCTGTCTCTCTCTGTCTCTCTCTGTCTCTCTCTGTCTCTCTCTCTCTCTCTCTCTCTCTCGTGCGCATGCCTCCCTGCCTGCATTTTGATCCATCCAATCCCCTCTGTGAGCAAAAGTAACTGCTGGTGTGCTCGTGACTTGTCCTATCGGATTTACCCTGCCTTTTCAAAATCCATTTATCTGAATGCTCTGGAGTAACCATGATAAAAGCAAGCCAAGCTTGAGGGATTCCCTTCCTAATTAAAATGGTTCTGGAGAAGTAGTAATAAAAGGAGCAGCTGTCAACTGGCCAACGTTTTAAGAGTCCACTCCAGTTACCATAGCCAGAACCACATTTGCTGCGGAAGTGGCGGAGCTATGAACATTGCTCAAACTTTAGCCTTGCCACTCCCTTTTCAAGAGAAAACATTCAAACCACCTCGGAACTCTCTTTGGTTTACCTCCAACCCGATCAGTTCCATGGGAAGTATAGATGGAATAACAACTTGCACGCACCTCTTTTCCTCATCTTTCGCCCGACTCTTGACGCTACCAGGCGAAGCATCATCCCTCATTTTCAACTCGTCAGCAAGTATCACATCATAGAGTTCCTGTGAAAACGACCATTGTTTGAGAAAAGGACACGAGTTCATGACAGCTACAAGAATATCACTGGTCCAAAGTTTTTCCCAGAAAATCCAAACTACACCATCATTACAACACCGAATCAAAAGCTCTTCAGCTGCAAATTCTGTGAATTCCACTGGACAAGAGTCGTTACGCTGTGAAGTGAATGCAGCACAACATAACTTCACATTCGGAGGATACGATGGACAGACATCATTCTCAAGAGCATGTCGGATGTGAAAATGTACATTTCATTTGATCCGGAGCAAGCTGGTCAATCCACTTCTTTTCTGGGCAACTACAAGTTAAAGGTCGTACGGTCATTCAACGGAGTTGGGCAATGGATTGATCAAGAAAATGGCTCCACACACCTGACAGTATCATAACTAGTTATTCCCTTTTTCTAAGTTAACATGTGTGACATCCCCCAGACACTCTGTTGTTGGGACTAGATGGAACATCGGGAACAGGATTTGAGTCGACTTCTTCCAGACGGTGACCGCTCTACAGCCACTCTTAAACCCACCCGCAGCTTGCTGCAACCTCCATTGCCAAACCAAATTGCCACTGGATGTGGGCTTCGTCCACCCCGGTGGCATATCTTGTGTGAAACCTCAACTGAGCCTGACACTCCCACGGAATCCCACACCTGACTAGAATGAACTGAGCAAAATGACGGTTTCTCACTGCAAAAATGACAAAATGAAGGAAAGAGAAGGACGGTGAAGGAAACAGAGAAAAAAAGACAGCAAACGAGGAGAGAGAGACGAGGGTCATTTCTCACCACCCTGAAGCCTACAGAGGGCCATGACAAATGGCCATGTCTGTCCCTCTGAAGGCATTACGAAGTGCATCAGGGAGAGTGCGAAAAAAATGAATGTATATTTTCCCTCGAGCAAGTCCATTCTGTCTTATGCATCAGGGTGAAACCATGTTAATTCAAAGTTGGTCACCGTGAGCATGGTCGTTTTGCCTATACGGCAGGAAAGAAAGCAACAAGACGGTTTGCTCATTTACAAAAAACAAAAAGAAAACGAAAAAAAAGGAACAAGAGGACATCTCAGAATGAATATTATGCGGCACTGTTCAGAACTGTCAGAACATTCATTAATTCACCAATGCACCTATCTGTCCCTCTCCTCGAGCACTTCACGAATGACAAAGGGCTTCTGAAAAACTGGCCTCCCTGTCCAAAGACGAGGAAAACCGATGCTTTTGGTGGCTACTTCACTGAATGGATCTATCCATTACTCCACCCAGATTCCTTTCCAACGTGAACACTGGGACAACAACTCTGCCTTTGGCTTTATCTTTGTTATTTACTTTTCTCTCGTTTGTTCTGCTCTTCGATGGGCCGGGCTTGCTCCCATCCACCAGGGCCAACAGGATGCCAGTGGTTTAAGTTGTTAACCATAACACAGTTATTCTAACTTATTCTCCATTGGTCAGTGTTGCACACCCCAACCATCGGCGACCCTTGACTGGTCGGTTGCCGACCCGCCCACCGGTCGGCTGGTCGGCACCTACCGGTCGGGGGGTCGTCGACACCCCGCAAAAAAAAACAACAAATAATTTTTTATTTTTTTTTTGGGGTCCAGAACCCCTAATAACCCCACCAACACCCCCATACCCACCCCAAATACGCCCACACACCCCGCCAACACCCCCCACACCCCGCCAACACCCCCAAACAGCTCCCAAAGTGTATACGCCCCTACATCCCCCTATACGCCCCCGCCCCAACCCCCCCATCCCCAAAAGTTTCTCAGCGGATTGGGCTGTACTCAGCAAGCGCAGTGCAGCTTCCAACTCGGATCTGAAAAAAATTGGTGGATGGCTGTTTTCTGACAGGTCGGCAGACCGCCGACCGGTCGGGCCTACTGGTCGGCTGCAAAACAGTCCGCGGATGGGGTCGGCGGTCGGCAGCTATGCAACCCTGCCATTGGTCATGATTGGTGTCCACAGGACATGCCCTTTTGGAGGTTGAGACAGACACTGGATCAGAGGATGAACTGAATGTGACAAAATGCCAAATTATCAACAAAATGCCCAACAAAGAGCGTACCGAATTTACCAAGATACAAGAAGAATTACTGACACAGATGACAGAATGTGACCTGGATGAGCGGCGGACAAGCAATCTTCTTCGGCGTAATATGTCCCTGATAGCAAGCGACAGAATATGTCCCCTGCAGGATCATTCACATTTAATAGAAAGTAAACATCGATGAAAGGTTGACGAGTAGGAGTGCACACATCACGTGCATCAGACTTCAAGCAGAGACAAGATGGGCATGCAATAACATTGAAATCTGACCTCCAGCATCTCCACAGGCGGGGCCTCAACCTCCTCCTGCCCAGAACCCGTGGCCGTGAACATCCGCACAAACTCAGCCTTTGTCATCTTCGGCCATACCTGCATTATGGAGTAATGAAACAAGCTCAGTATCAATAAGGGTCACTGCGCATTCTCCACTTTCAACCCCCCCGACTGTTTTCCATCTTTTTTTTTACCATTCCTCAATTTGCGCTTGTCATCCTTGGTCTTCCCTGCATTGTTCCAGTTTTAGTTTTAAGTTTTAACAGATGCCTCGAAGGACTCTGTCACTCCTTTCTTTCCAAAGTCCAACAGATGTTCCAAATTCCAACACATCCTGCCTAGAGTTACACCCTTCTCTTTCATGTCCCACATGTTCGCAGATAAAAAGATGCATGGTTGCAAAGTCCTCAGTGTCATTAGAGAACTCCGATTCATACCGAGCCGGCTGGTAGTATTACTACGCATCAACGGGTCACTGACCTTAGCGTCACCCGTTCCTCTCTTTCACGTCCCAMATGTTCGCAGATAAAAAGATGCATGGTCGCGAAGTCCTCAGTGTCATTAGAGAACTCCGATTCATACCGAGCCGGCTGGTAGTATTACTACGCATCAACGGGTCACTGACCTTAGCGTCACCTGTTCCTCTCTGAGAGGTCCGCCACTAAGAAGAACCCCCTCCGGAGCACCCCCAAGGACTGACCTCCAACGCTATCGACAGAATGGCTGGCAGCCAGAATGATTTTATGGCAACTGCCCAGACGACGGGAGTGGGAACTATCCCAACAAACAGTCTGCAAAATTAAAATTATCCTTCCAAGATAAAAGGAAAAAAAAATCACCCAGTTGTCTTTATCACTGCCTGGGAACAAATGCCGTTGCCAAATTTAGCTGATAGTATGTGGTACACCATAAGTAGACATGAGAACAGGTCACAAATTTGGAGAGTTGGTTCACCCTCACTCCATAAACGGTGAAACGTAAGAATCTGGTTGCCCATGCTCCACATTGTTCACAAACGAGTGACTTCATTGTCACTTGTTTCATCGTCAATGTTGCGACTCAGGCAGAGGAGGAGAGGAGAGGCAAATGGAAGGATGAGACAATTCATGATTCATTGTTGCTGGGTTCATTCCGGCCTGCAGAGGAGATGGAGGGAGAACATAACGCCAAAGGAGGAAGTGACTGAAAAAAAATGGGGGGAGAAGAAAGGAGGAACAAAGGCCAGAGATCACATGAGACACAGGGGAGGGGATCGGTAGACACACCATACATTAGACCAGAGTCATAACCCTCTACAACAGCCATGTTGCACACCAAAAGAAGGGAAAAGGGGACAAGGAGAGAAGACATTACTGCACCGCGATTGCTCACTGCAAGGAGGCAGGCATGAGAGTGAAAGGGAGATGCATCAGTGTTATTGCCCCTTGCACCTTCCATGTTAAAACTCGAAGGATGGTCATAGAAGCAGAGTAGAGAGAAACAAGGAAATGTGGAGCATAAGGGAGGGTGAAACTGAGAGGCATCAATGCCATTGCCCCTTCTGCCTTCCATGTTTAAACACAGAGGATGGTCAAAGCAGCAGAGGAGAAAGAGACGGGAAATGCAGAGGAATGTAGATAAAGAGAGGAGATTCTTGATGGCTTGGGGAACCGTCATAGGATGAAACAGATACACGAGAGCGACTCCATTGCCATACTGAGACTGAACGGTGGTTTGTGTGAGAAGAGCAAGGCGGCGATGAAAACAAGAAGTAAAAAGAGCACAAGGCCTAACTTCCCAAAATGCTTGCAAGGGTTGCAGCCACATAAGGGTGGGTCAGGGCTGTTGAGAACATATGATGACGCTATCATTGGGAACGGCTATGGGAAGAACAACGACACCCGATGTGAAAACATATGATGATAACAAGACACAGCAACTGGGAAGGGCCCTGAGACTTCATCGTCGTAGTCACTGGGAAACATATGATGACACGATCATTGGGAAGGGCTTTGGGACACAGCCAATGGGAAGGGCGACGGGAGACACACTGAGGAGAACATATGCCGGTAACCATCGCCATGCCTCTTGGGAGGAATAGCCCGGACAAGTCCAAACACCATCAGCTGGCTTTCCAAACACAACTGGGCTATCGCTCNCACCATCAGCTGGCTTTCCAAACACAACTGGGCTATCGCTCTGTGCAGTTTCAATCCCCTCCCTTTCTCCTGCCACTTTCTTGGCTTCATCCCACCCTCCCCTCGAGAGAAAAAAAAAAACTGTGCCACATACTCTTCATGATTGATAACAAGGCTGTGCTGTGAAGAGAAAGACGTATGATTGGGCCACTGCTCAGCCTATAGGGCATAAGGGTCAAACATGCAGAGGAGAGCAAATAGAAGCCACCAAAACACATACCCCAGAGAGAGAAATGGGGATTCCATATTGGTCCTTTACAACATGGACAGAGGCCGACATCTCAATTCCATGGAGGCGAACCATACTAAAACAATACATGAGGCACATCATTCACACAAGTGACTAAGGCTTCCTGGCTGCAAGGAAACAGCTCGTTACAACATGCAAACACATGCTTTTACCATGTGATACACTGGGTGTACGATACTCCTCCTCGCGGGTTCCAGAAAGATTAACTTTCCATTGGTAGATGACCACAGCTAAAATCAGTCATCAGACACGAGGAAAGGGCCCGATTTTCAGTGACGAAGAAAAGACATGCCTTCCAAGCAAAAGCAAGTTGTTCACTGTTCCTTTCAGGGGCTTCAGAGGGAAGAGTGGTCTGGTTGGAGCAGAAGACAAGATGATAAAGCAGGCACGAGGCATCAAACAGTCAGACAGAGACAAAATTTCAACAAGACCGTACCAAAGGATTGTGAAGATCTGTGTTGAGCATAATTACAGCATAACCCAAGGCATAAGCGGTGTCAGCGCTCTGAAACAGGGATGGATTATCTCGACAATACCTGCATGGAAAGGACAATAAGAATAGACAGCAAGCTCAGAATCAATAAAACCCAACTCCTGGGGGCAAGTCTATCCCGTCATTTTATTTCTTTTACAGAGTTCATCATCCACTTTTCACCTTCCTTGAACACAGTGGCTTACACGCTTTCATCTGTACCCGGACTCAAAAACCTCATTGCTGACACCCTTATTTCCCGAACACAACTTTCACGCCAGATACAGATATGAATCAGAGTTGTGTTCGAGGGAAGAAAGTAGTGACATAGGATGTTACTGAGTGGCCCCTCAGCACTCCCTCTACCCCTCTCCTTCCGTGCACCCCAGACTACGTCTCCATGTACGTTCACATCCATACGATCATAGATTCCCACTCTACACCCGCCCCTTGCTCCAGCCTGCTGCAAACCATTCATAACTCATGGCAGCAGTCCTTGCTTCCCCCTCGCCTGCAAATAATATTTCACCCTCGACACTCATCTTGCCCAAATTCACGTGTGCGCTTCCCCGCACCCGACCCCACCAATCTCACCAATGAAAGCACAGCATCTCGGAAAAATCTTTCACGCTTGCAAAACGATAATAATGCATGTACCTTGATGCTCCTCGTCAGCAAAGTATTTTGCTCATACCCTGAAGTGTGTGTCCCTGTGTGCTACTGTGCATATGATGATAATTCCACCAATTCGTGGAAAACTGCCCACAACGGAAAAGAGAGCGACCAAGGACACAACAGCCCCACTGTGCCTTAACATCTTGAACACGTCAACTCCAGCATGACGTTGGACAATCATGTGCTTCTCTGCACCAGACGAAGCATCATGCAGGAAAACAAAAGCCCAACTCGATATACCCAGTGGCCCCTTTAACAAGAGCCCAACTCAACATACCCATGTACTTCTCTGTGCCTTAGTGTCTTGAACAAGAGAGCACCAGCGAGGAGTAGGACAATTATGTATAGTGGCCCCTTTATCTTTGTTTTTCCTTTTTTTCACCCTTACATAGATGCTGCCCTGACACAGAACCAGACTTACTGCAGCCACAAAGAGTGTGACAAAACTGCGTGGCACTTTCTTAACCAGGTGCAGCCAAATCATCCTGAGAAAGTATGCTTGTTCGAGTCACTATAGTTATGCATGTGTCGATCCGAATCCACCATCCACGTAGAGAAGCTCCTACTCAGAATATTTGGCCTTATATACTCTGAGTCACTCTGAGTGAGAATTACCGCAAAGGGTATGCGACTGTTCCATTCCTCACTAGTCTAGTCTCACCGTCCGAAACTCCCAGTAACTTTGTAGGCCCCCATAGAGAAAAGCTGCCAATACATGCTTTGTGGCAAAACTTGATGAACATCGCAATGCAAAAAGGGGGGTTTTCTCCACTCTCCACAAAGGGAAGAGAACGAAGAGTGCCCGAGCATAACTGCATCCTCCCACATGGCAGCGAAAGTGCACCTCAACGGATTGTAAAACACCTCCTGAATTTGCAACTAACAGGTGACAACAATTCAACAAGACCTTTTGTTTCCTGTCAGTTTCTATGCATATATGATAACCAATCACCTATCTGTAGCATGCATTGAAGACACAGGAACCTAGTAAGAAGCCCTGAGCCCAATCTGTTACTTACAATGGATGCAACAGGACTTGAGACTGGCAGTGCATTTGGAACTTCCAGATCAATGTTTGAGCCACAGTGGGTTTGGTGCTGTTGCCCAGAGAAATCTTAGGGCTAAATATGAAGATGTGCTGCCACTTGAGGATTTCCCTACAAGAATACATGGCATTCCTAACCCTGAGATCCCTGGTACAGGGTTGGAACCTGTACCTGGGTTCGAATTAAGAACTCCGCCACAATCTCTGGGTACGGTGGTGTTCTCCAGAGAAATCGGACAGGTAAGTATTAAATATGTCAATCATAGTCAATGTGCTAGCACCGAAGGATTTGCCTGCAAAAATATGTGCCATTCCTGATCTCGAGGTAAGTTCTTGCGGGTTACAACAGCACCTGCTGCTCCGGGACCAAGAGAGACATTACCAGAATTCATTCAAGAGTTCTGCCTTATAATGCAACAGCAACACACAATTCAGCTTTTTTCAAACTTCACTGGCACAGCATGAAGCAAGCCCTCTGCACACGCACCTCTCAGCAAATTTCTCCATCATCCTGTCCACCTTTTGAGCCTGAGTGCACACAAGCCAGAGTTCACCAACCACACCAACCACGCAGGCTCAGCGGATTTGGACAGATTTGAGTCATTCCTCCACAGTATCTGGGGATTGTCAAAGGACAAGCAGCAGCAAAGAAAATAAAGCACAAAGCGGGCAAATATCACCCTGCAGGGCCTGCACACTGTGATGACCAGATGCTTGCTCTTGTTCATTGAACATCATACTACAACACCGTTCACTGGAGTACATCAGAGAAGACAGAATCCACATCTTTCCCTAAAATCCGTCACTACTTGTAAAAAACTCACGTACTGCCTCTGTCATGGCTAGGCAATAGTCTGCGCTCGTTTCAGGTCCAGGGTTGGTCAGAACCCTCTCCCTCCCAAGTCCCCACTGCCGCCCCCGCTTCGCCTTACCCTGTCCACCGACAGTTCACTAGGCACTTTCTTGAGGCAATATACTGAGTTACAGATCAGGCGCATAAACTGCGATGCAGAGAATTCCATCCTTGTACATAACCATTCAGACTAAGATCCCTGAAACAAACTACTGATTCCAGCCCTGAACACCATCCATCATCAGGTCGACTGCTCTCTTTGAGCTGCTAGCCGACTCAGATGAGCTCCTTCACACATCACCAATCCCACAATCAAACATCAAAGCAAACAGCAGCTGCAATAAACAACTTTTTCATAACCGCTGCAAAATGCAGTGGCAGTGTGGCACCTAATAAACAACAATCAATGATCAACCCCCAAAAGATGAGACATACTTCTTTCCCATCAACATGACGACAAAGCTTATGCACAAACATTGATTTACGTGCCGCCCCTGTCAATACGACCCCAAAGCTTACACCAATATTCTTAGGTCCTACTCACAGTGCAGCTTTCATGGCCAAACCACTTGGTACATCCGACAGGTCTACATACACAAAGTGCTACTTGCTCACTGAACAAGTCACCGCAGATGTCAAAACGAAATCATTACTGTCCTCGACAAAGAATTCTCATAGATTGTGTGGTACAAAATCGTAACAAATCAGTGAAATCTTACAACATGATGGTGCAATAAATGACCATACTGAGACCTGCAACAAAAACATATGTCATCTTCTACGGTCTTACTGAGTCGAATTTACCAAGTGGGTATACCAAATAGAAGTGACCCAGAAGAATTCCCACATGTGGCATGCCTTTCTCATAAATGTTTCACAAAAAAGAAATGACCCAGAAGTATGCCCTTGCAGTTCGGCAAATGATCCCAGCAGAGGAAGGGATATCGGGAATCGACAAACCACTGTCCGCCAGTGGGCCGCACACCTAACAGAATAATTCCTTGGCAAACGATAAACCACAAGGTTCTGCAAACAACACATTGCGGTCTTCCCACGCTTCCACCAACACTCGCCATAAATATGCCTGGGATTTCTAAGACTTTGCCCCCATATATATGGCACATGGGCAACCAAGGGGCCAACAATCGTGGAACTCCGGAGAAAGGCTCAAGAAGTGGACTCTGAAGCTTTCGCTGGATTTATTTATAATCCTAATGCAACCGACCTACCTCGCCAGGAAGCCGAAAGCCTGCCAGAAATTCCCGGATGGCCATGTCAAAACGCATTCCTGAGAAATTCATCAAATCGACGTAGGCATGCATCACAGCAATGCTGAAGTCATCATGTTGACCCAGGTAGTCCCCAACTGCAGTCTGTCGATTTCCAGGGACCACCAAAGGACACAGGCCCACACACACAGAAACACATGCATACATGCATGCACATGTTCAGGGAGTGTAAATCAGATATATGCTATGACGACTTCACAAAGATTTTCAAATTTACACAATGAACTTCAACATACCAGCAGAGGTATAGCAAACTTGGCATGGATATGGTAGCGGTCAAAGGTCACGTAAAGCAACAAAGAATGGCCAGGAAGCACGATGAATTACTCGATGTCTGGAGTCTGGAGACTGGACTCCACTGATGATTCGGAGACTCACCAAAGTACGACTGCCTGCCTCTAAGAGGGCTTTTTTTAGATTCATTTTCAGCAAGAGTCCTCATGGTGCCTAGACAGAGAACAACAAACACTGCAACTCTAGCCCCTTGTATACACGAGTTCAAGGCCGGTGTTGATTATGAATCACAAAACCATAGCAACTTCAACAGGCTTTGCTCGATCCAACACCTTCATGGATATTCATGTGTCCTCCATTTAGGGATAAGAACAAACAATGGTCCATGCCTAGCAGCACAGAAAATAAAAGGAGACTTACTGAACCAGCAGTCAAACCAGAGTGACAGCCCAAATTCCTCACGGAAGAGCATCCAGTACCTCTAAAGCTACTTAACTACAAGAGAAATGTTGCCTGTCCTTGACAAAGTGCGCCAAGGACAAAAGACAGTGGCCTTTGGATCGATCTACTTAACTACAGACAAGCTCATCAAGTAGCCAGCCTGTCTGCCAAACTGCACACATGAGAAACTAAGCGCTCAAAACTTCTCTGACATCTATTCTTAGACACCACAGACACAAACCTCATTCAGT